TGGATGGATGGGTAGATGGAAGGTTGAATGGGTGGTGGATGGATGGGTAGATGGAAGGTTGAATGGGTGGTGGATGGATGAGTAGATGGAAGATTGAATGGGTGGTGGATGGATGGGTGGTTGAGTGGGTAGGTGGGTGGATGGATGGATGGAAGGTTAAATGGGTAATGGATGGATGGGTGGATGGATAGGTAAATGGGTGGGTGGGTGGATGGATAGAAGGTTGAATGGATAGTGGTTGGTTGGATGGATGGGTGGGTGGATGGATAAATGGGAGGATGGATGGATGGGTAGATGGAAGGTTGAATTGGTGGTGGATGGATGGGTAGATGGAAGGTTGAATGGGTGGTGGATAGATGGTGGATGTGTGGGTGGGTGGGTGGATGGGTGGAAAGATGGATGGATGGATGGATGGATGGGAAGGTTGAATGGGTGGTGGATGGATGGATGGATGGATGGACGGATGGATGGATAAATGGGTGGGTGGGTGGATGGATAGAAAGTTGAATGGGTAGTGGTTGGATGGATGGACGGATGGATGGATGGGTGGATAAATGGGAGGATAGATGGATGAGTAGATGGAAGGTTGAACGGGTGGTGGATGGATGGGTGGTTGAGTGGGTGGGTGGTTGGATAGAAAGATGGATGGGTGGATGGAGGGTTGAATGGGTGGGTTGGATGGATGTGTAGATGGAAGGTTGAATGGGTGGTGGATGGATGGGTGGATGGGTGGATAAATGGGAGGGTGGATGGATGTGTAAATGGATGGGTAGGTGGGTAGACAGAAGGTTGAATGGGTGATGGATGGAGGGCTGGATGGATTGGCAGCTCCTGTTGCTTTACAAAGGAGGACAAGGTTGATGTTCTCCCTCTCTTTACTTTTTTCTAGCTTTATGTCCTTAGTCAAGGACAATGTGTGTACCGGGGAAAAGTCTCAAATCTTGTACCATACTTGAGGGATTTAGGTCTGAACTGCCCAACCTATCACAACCCAGCTGATTTTGGTAAGTAGAGCCTTAACCAGCTGGAGGGGAAAGAAAGGGGCTCTTTTCCACTCTTGGTGGGTTTCTGCTTTTACCTGAAGCCCCCAAATCTTGAATATTCTACACATGGCTCAACTGCCATCCTGTGGTGAAGCTTTTAAGAACAAATTAGAGGTTTTCTTTCCTCCAGAGATCTGGGAACTAGAACAAGGACGTTGTTGTTAGGAGCCATTTTTCCTAATGCTTTGCTGTGTTACGTTTCTGATTTAAAGGAAGGTATTTCTGAAAATAAATAACCTTTAAAAATAAAAAATGACCCTCTTACATTGATTAACCAAGTTGTTAAAATGCGGATTTAAATTTCCACCAAACATAACAAAAAAGGTGAAGCTCAGAGTCCAGAGATCAAGTTGATGATCTGAGCTCCTTCTCCTGAGTTGGAGGTCCTGAGGTTGGCAGTGAAGTACGCCGTGTCCTTGAGATGTAGGAGCCCACCCCTGCATGCTGGCGTTGCTCCCAGGTGCCTCCCCGGCCATGCCCTCTAGGGTGTTGATGCCGCTGCTGCTGGCCATCACTTTCCCCCCACCACCGGGTCTCCGGGCCCAGCACCCTTCCTCCACACCATGCCCCACACATCTATCAGCAAACCTCACAGCCTCTCCAGGCCGTGTCTCCAAAACCAAGTCTCCTCCACTAGGCTCTGCAAGCCAGGGAGGCAGGAACCCCTCTTGCCTTCTCTTTCTCTCAAGCTTCATATTTACTAGGCCGCCAAGTGCTTGACACCCCCCACCCAGTCCCATCCCCCCTGCCCCGGCCCCTGGGCTGGGGTCCAGTCTTTGCTCGCACATCCTGTCTGCCCGAGGCTGCTGCAAGATTGCCCCACAAGCCGGGTGGCCTAAATCAGCAGAAATTCATCCTGTCGCAGTTCTGGGGCTGGAAGTCAAGGTGTGGGCAGGGCCGAGCTGCCTCCGAGGGCTCCAGGGGAGGGTCCTTCCTGCTCTTCCAGCTCCTGGGGGCTCCGGTGTGCCTGGGCTGGTGGCTGGGCCACCCCAGTCTCTGCCCATGTCCTCAACATGGCTTTTTTCTCTGTGTCTCTGGGTGTCCTCTCCTCCTCTTGTAAAGACACCAGTCATGGGACTCGGGGCCCACCCTAAATCCAGGATGATTTCATCTCAAGATCCATAACAAATTATATCTGCAAAGAGCATTTTCCAAATAAAGCCACATTCTGAGGTTCCAGGTGGACATGAATGGCGGGGGCATCAGCCTTTCTCATCCATGTTTTTCCCCCAAACATCTGGCCACAGCACTGCTGGGATTCCATATCTCTACATCATCATCCCCCAAATTGTGTTCCTTGAGACACAGTTCCCAGGCCAGGCTCTGTCTTCTGAGAAGTGGGTCATGACGGTGAGGGGGGCACACAGTGGACAGGAAGGGGCTGAGGGGGAGGGAACCCTCAGCTAAAGAGAGGCTTTGGCGTGTTGCAAAGGTAGTGGATGGAGCCAAAGATTGTCACACACCTGTTCCCCAGAGAGAGAAGGCAGGCAGGGACAGGGGCTGCAGAGGAGGGGCAGAGCAGGGAGGGCCTGCAAAGAGGAGAGGACCTAGGGGGTAGGAAACCGGGCACATGGGACTGTGGGAAGGTCTCATGAAGGGGAGAGTGTACCCTTCTGGCAGCTTCTAGTCCCTCTGCGTCACTGGAGAGAGGGCGGGAGGGGAGAGGGGCCGTTTGGAACATGGTGGAGCAGGGTGGGTGTGAGTGAGCAGGTGAGCTGGCCGTGCTGGGCCCATGTGGCATCACTGATGATGATGTTCTCTTGTGGCAACATGTCCTGGTTTACGACAGGATCTAGGAGGGCTTGGCCGCCTCGGTTCAGGCTCAGGGAAAGCAAATAGCTGGTGTGGCCAGAAGGCAGGGCCAGAAATTCGAAGCCGCGGACTTTGGGCTTCAGCAAGGATGTCAGTGAGGGGCGGGGCCGTGGGAAGGAGGCGTGTGAGACCGCAGGCCGTGGGCCCGAAGGGGCAGCAGTCATGTGGGCTGTGGAACCAGGGGCCACGGAGAGGCCGTGGGATCCAGAGACGGGGTCAGTGGAGGACACACTCCCTGGAGACTGTGAGGTGGGGCTGAGGGTCCCAAGCGGGCTGGTGGCTCTGGGCCCCTCGCCATGGTCCTGAAGAACTGTCACTGCGCCCATCACTCTTGCCTGAGCCCATAGTGACATGCAAGCCCCCTCCGGCTCATCCCTTGGCTCCAATCCTGGGGCTTGAATGCCCAAGGCAGGCATTCAGTAACCATCACTGGGTGAATAAGTTAATAGATGCACGAGCTCTCAGGCTCCCTGGCATTGCCATCTGAATTCACATTTCTAGGATCCTGATGTGACACCTGGCCTTGCGGGGGGTTTTGGAGCTGACGAAATTTCGGTTGTGGCGTGATCTTATCCTATCATGCAGCATCCATATAATCCGCTAAAAGGACTCCCGCAAGGCTCACTGCTGTGTTGTTGCAAAATGACCAAGGTCTGGGGTCACGTTAGCGACAGGGGGCTCCCCCCTGGAGGGGGGTGCTGGGACTGACCCGTCTGTGTCTCCCACAGTCATGGAGGTCGCGTCCGGCGAATACGGCGATCAGAACGGCCGCCTGGTGAGAGCCGTCCGGGAGGGCATGTGTGACTCCGACCACAGGAGAGAGCCTGGGGGGGATGCCGAGGTGAACCCTTTTCTTTGGCACCGGCCCTCTGAAGAGGTAAAGCAGGCAAAACGATTGAAGGGGTGGAGAAAGGTAATGCAAAGCCCTGGCCCCCCACGGGATGGCTGCATGCTGCGCCTTGCGCCCTGCCGCGTGGGGGCTCTTGCTCAGCCGGGGGGAGCTGCGTCCTGGGCTGGAGGCTCACGACTCCCCCTTCCCGTGTGTGTCCGCAGGACTCCACCTCCACGGAGGGCTGCCACAGCTTTTCAGCCAGCTGCCTCACCCAGTTCTGCATCCTCTTCAAGCGGACTTTCCTCAGTATCATGAGGGATTCGGTAAGGCTGTGGGCCAACGTTCTTTCAGGACAGAGGGAGCTGCAGGGTTATTTTCAGTGTGTTCATCCTGCCTGAGCACTCAGGCTATTTTCCCTGCATTTGCATCAGTCAGCTTTCCCTCCACGGTGCTGCCGTGACAAACAGTCCCCAGTGGCTGTGACAGTAAATACGTATGTTGTGCTGGTGTGTTGTGCGTTGGCCGCTGTGGCTGGTGGCCCCGCCCCATGTGTCTCATCCTGGGACCCAGAGTGGAGTCACGGCTCCCTTTCTGGAACATGACAAAGGGCAGCCTGTCAGAGTTCCTGCTGGAGGCGGCAAACCTGGTCTTGTGCCCGCTTTTGTCTGGCCAAGCCCAAGTGGGAGTGTGCCCCTCTCTCAAGGAGGCCCTGGGGGCCTGGGCACGGGCAGGTGCACAGAGCCCCGTCGGGCAGCAGGCGGTGAGTGACTGCAAGCCATGATCCTGTCCACCCATCACAGTGGACAACCTGGCAGGCTCCCTACCGAGGGGGGCTGAGTGCCCAGGGGGGCCTCTGGGACCTGCTTTGAATGTTGGGGGGCTTGTAGCTGCCCAGGCCAGAGCACTCCGAGGAGGGACCTCGGGCGTATCCATTCTCTGCCCCCCAGCACTGTTTCACCTGACCCCTCCTCTGAAGGTAGACTGCCCTTCGTGCCTTCTGTGGAGCATAGCAATTGCTTCTGTTTTAACAGCAGTAAACTGCTGTGTGTGTGTGTGTGTGTGTGTGAGAGCGAGTTGGTTTAGGGTTGGGGCTTGTTTTTCTGGAGAAGAAATCAGGGACCAATGTCTCCAAAGCCTCAGCCTCGAGGTCTTTGCCGACCGCCATGCACGTCAGCGAGAACCGTGTCTGCCCCCCAGGTCCTGACGCACCTGCGGATCACGTCTCACATTGGAATCGGCCTCCTCATCGGCCTGCTGTACCTGGGGATTGGGAACGAAGCCAAGAAGGTCCTGAGTAACTCCGGCTTCCTCTTCTTTTCCATGCTGTTCCTCATGTTCGCCGCCCTCATGCCCACCGTTCTCACGTGTGAGTGCCTGACCCTACCCCCGCCCACCAACGGGGGACCGAGGTCTTGGCTCGGCCAATAGATGAGTTTTCTGACAAAGAAAGTCATGGTCTTTTGAAGTATCATTTTCTTTGTTGACAGGGACTATCATATTTTCTCTTAGACAAGAAAATACATACCATGTTTAAGCCAAAGGAATTAATCACTAATGGAGAAACTGTGAGCATTGTGGAAGGCTGACGAGAGAGAGATTTCTAAAAAGTTTTCTAATCAGGAACACCTCAAATCTTACTGCTAACCTATTACCTCATTCACTTATTAAGCCAGCCTGCTGTGGCCAAGTTTGAGAGTGGATAAAGCTATTCTAGATGGATTTCCATGCAGTTCCAGATGGTTTACAGAGCACGCTGCCCTAGCTCGCTCTGGGCTGACAGTAAACTCCAGCATAAAACTTGCCCCAATGTCGCCTCCCTAAATGGCCCTGCATGCTGAGGACCAGCTTGGGGGTTCTTGCCCATGGAAGGAATCGCACTGGTTAGTGCTGAGCTTAGCAGGAAATCCTTGTGCGAATCACTACAATAATGCTCAGCATCCGAGTAGATGTTCTCCGCACTTCGATTGTGTGCCCGGTGACCCTTTGGGTTATGAACACGGTCGGCAGTTTTCCCGGGCTGGTGAATCGTTCCGTCTGTCTTATCTCCGTCTCTGAGAGCCGCTCACATGGCAGGTGGGCATCGTGGCCTCCAGCTCAGCACACGCATGCCTGTGCGGATACCCGGCTGGCGGGCTGTGTCTGCCTGACCCCTTTGCCCTCCTTCTGTCTCCTAGTTCCCCTGGAGATGGGAGTATTTCTTCGGGAACACCTGAATTACTGGTACAGCCTGAAGGCCTACTACCTAGCCAAGACCATGGCCGACGTGCCTTTCCAGGTGCGTTAGTGAAGGGGCAAGTGTTCTCCATCATTCCCTGTAGACGGGGCTGGAGACACCGTGTCCGTGAGGGGTGACGGGCCTGTGCTTACAGATCATGTTCCCGGTGGCCTACTGCAGCATCGTGTACTGGATGACGTCGCAGCCGTCCGACGCCGTGAGGTTCGTGCTGTTCGCCGCGCTGGGCACCATGACGTCCCTGGTGGCACAGTCCCTGGGTCTGCTCATTGGAGCCGCATCCACGTCCCTGCAGGTACCAGCTGAGGACACAGCACGGGGTGGGGGGGTGGAGGGGCTCCCTTCTCCACCTGGGCCAATGCGGCCGGGGCCCCTCCTCCCTAAAACGCCGCCTCCTAATTCTGCCCTGACTTCCCAGATTGGCTTCAGCAGGTCGCTGCCCGGGGAAGGAACCGCACCGCGGCGGCTGGTCGGGGTTGGCACAATGACAACAGCAGGTGTCCGTGGCCTTTGTGCCTGCCAGGCGCTGTTCCCAGCACTGTCCTCATCATAGCTCATTGCTCCCTGGCAGCCCACAAGCTAGGGTGGTGCTATCCCCATTTTGTAGTGGGGGAGACTGAGGCCCAGAGAGGCGACGTGACCTGGTCAGGGTCGTGTGGCTGGCTCCGAGTCCAAGCTCTCAACGCCTATGTTTTGTTGCCTCTGGGGGATCCGCTCCGCCATCCCTTGGCCCTCTAACGGCAGCCTGCGCCCCTACCCTGACCCGGGGCTTCACGTGCCCCCCAACCTGCCAACCCCCACGTGTGCACTGCGGCGCCTGCAGGGTGCTCAGGTCAGCTCTGTCCCCCACCACAAAGCCACAACTCTGGTGAATCGTGTGCCCCTCAGGCCTTCCACCACACGCCCTCCCCTGTCGCTGCATGTGATGGACTCTCCGTTTCCGTCTTCAGAGCCCCCTGCCAGTGACCACTGGGCCCCTCATCCGTGGGTAGGCATAGCGATGGTGTGCATGGGGTGCATCGGGAGGCCGTGGAAAGTGCTCGGCCCCACCAGCCGCCGCGAGAGCCCAGGGAAAGGTGCTCTTTGCTGCTTCCTCCCTCGGACACGGCAGCAGCACCTGACTGTCCACTCCTCCGGATGCCGTGCCGCAGCCTCATCGTTGTTCCCCTTGGTCCCTGCCTCCTGCAGGAGGCTCTCTCTTCGCCACCCCCCCGCCCCCAGCTGGGGCCCGCTGCTCTCTGCGCGGAGACAGGCTGCAGGTTGGAAGACAGGGGCCCTTAGTGCCATCCTGGCCTTGTGTGACCAGCCGGGAGCCCCGGCCCTTTCCCAGCTGCTGGTGACTCTCCCCAGACGCGTGGGATATGGCCTCCGGGGGACACCTGAGGAAACTGGGCAGGATTCCCACCTGCTGCCCCTGAGCACGTCCCCTGTGTGCCCCCCAGGTGGCGACCTTTGTGGGACCCGTGACGGCCATCCCCGTCCTCCTCTTCTCGGGGTTCTTCGTCAGCTTCGACACGATCCCGGCTTACCTGCAGTGGATGTCATATATCTCCTACGTCAGGTAGCGTGTCTGGAGACTCTGATCGCTCGGGAGCTCTGTGTGGACCAAGGGAAGGGACCAAAGCCACTTCCTAGCCACCAGCTAAATGCCAGCATGATGCTTTGCACCATGAGTCCGAGACTATTGATGCCTTTCACTTTTTCCCAAGTCTGGTGTGTCCGCACCCTCTCGAACACACATGCACGCACACACACAAGGATAAAATAAATACTAGCAATTTATGCCTTGAAGAAGCGGCGGTGGACCCCCGTCTTCTGCCCGTTTTGGAGGACTGCCGTGGGGGGTGTGTTTCCATCTTACCAACCTCCTCCCCCTCTGGAATGAACAGCGCTCATTACAAGGTTCTGACTCTGTGTAAATCCGGTGGAAACCAAGTCCTGTTTTAAACATCTTAATATCTTTGAACAAGAGCATCCTGGCCCCCGGGCGCCGCGGCGCTCGGACCTCATTCTCTCTGCTCCGGGTCCTGGCGCCTCGGCCTCACCGAGCAGCGCCCATCTTCAGTGCTCTTCTCCCCCAGCTGTAGCAATCCCACATGACACACAAGATCCGAAGTTGGGAACAAGCTTTCTTTTTCTAGAATGTCAGTTCAGACCCAGATGTATTGTTCAGGAAAACAAAATCAAAACAAAGCACCCGCACAGAGTTTCAGCAATCTGTGTGTGGTCCAACGCCAAGAAATCAGAAACCCATGTCTTTCTTCTCAAAATTGGTATTTTTTTCTGACGCTGTGGGGCTGCCCCGGAATGAGAGACGGTGCAGAAGGGTTTTACTGAAATGCTCTATAGTCCTTCGAAGGCTATCAGATCCTTTATTATATCCAACTGTTAAAAAATATATCAGGCGATCAAAGAGCCTTCCAATTCGTTTCCCCCACTGAACAAATACCTACTCTTCGTTCAGTTTGGTTTTGTGGGTAGAGGCTCTGGAGGAAACAAAATTTGGGAAAACCTTAGCCAAGCCGTTGGATGTGTTTGTCTTGGGAGGCTAGGAAGTATTTCCGTGAAGACGGGTCTCGGGGCGGGAAGGTGGCCGCACTGCGGATTACGGACAGGGGGACCCTGTTTCCCTCGGCAAATGGAGGTGGGCGCAAGGCCGCGGGGTCCCCTGGACACGGGGAGGGCCTTGCTCACGGCCGGTGCCTTCCTCCGCAGGTATGGGTTTGAAGGGGTCATCCTGTCCATCTACGGGCTGGACCGAGAGGACCTGCACTGTGGCATCGACGAGACGTGCCACTTCCAGAAGTCGGAGGCCATCCTGAGGGAGCTGGACGTGGAGGACGCCAAGCTCTACCTGGACTTCATCGTTCTGGGTATTTTCTTCATCTCCCTGCGCCTCATCGCCTATTTCGTCCTGAGATACAAAATCCGGGCAGAGAGGTAAAAACACCAGAGTGCCAGGAGACACGGACGTAGACATCACGGCCCAGGGCCCCTTGTAGAGCCGCAGAGACCGCTGCTACCCAGCCCCCGGCAGCGTGCTCAGTCCGCGGGCATCGTGCCGCCCGTCCACGCCCAGCCAGCTCGGCGCCTCTCTCCTTCTCCCTTTCTGGCTTCACCTGGGAAGAAGGTGTAGAAAGGCGTCGCATCCTTGTGCAGAATTTAACACGGCGGCGGCCGGGCACGCAGGAGTGGGCAGCAGAAGGGCGGCCGGGAGGCCGGGGGTGGCCCCGTCTCGGGACTGTCCCTGCCGTCCTACGGTTTTGCCTCCTTCTCCAGGGAGAAGTCAATTTCCAAGCCAAAAGCCGATAACTCTCATTCATTTTAAGAAACTATCTTTTTAGTACTTTTAAAGGAAATTATTCAGGGTAAATAACACACTTTGCTTAGAGACACGAGGGGCTTAACTAAGGCGCGGAGCTGGTCTCGTTTTCAGGCAGACCTTGGGACAGGCGTGGGCGCAGTGCCCCGGCAGAGAGAAGGCTCTGGGGCTGCACGCGTTCCGAAAAGTTGTACAGAAAGCTGGAGGGTGACATTGGCCAACCTTCCCAAAGTCTTTTCTCCCCCCCACCCCGTGCTGCTTATTTTAAGCAAAAAATATATTGTTTATTTCTTCCTAACTTTCTGAACACCTTAATTTCGCCTAAAAAGTGTCTAGAAGATGAGCCTTGTTGATTTTTTGCACACATGTCCCTCTCCTCACGTATCACATCGACTACCTCCGCGGGAGCTGGGAGAGCTTGGGGGGCAGCAAAGCCAGGGGGGCCGGGGAGGGAGCCGCCAGCGGCGGGGTGGGGGGGCGCACTCAGACCTCACGGCCTCCGAGGCCTCGCAGGCAATGGGCACAGTCCGAGTGGCTCGGTCAGACGGTGCGCAGGGTCACGGGCGAGGCCACCTCCCGAGCCGTGTGTCTGTGACATCCCTGCCTTCTCCATGCTGGGCCCCTGTGGATGTCACAGACCAGAAGCTCCTTCTTCCCAGCAACAGAATCACAGAAGGAAATCCCTGCGGGGCAGGAGCGGCGGGCACATCTGCGGGGTGAACGGCCTCTGGCTTGGCACTGGCCCCTGGGGCGCCTACCAGCTGTCAGAGGTGGTGCGACCGCAGGGGGAGGTCAGAGGAGGCCAAGGGGGGAAATGGAGTTGCTCCCCGCTTGGAATCTCACTGCCCAGGGGCTGGGGTCTCCCAGAGATGGACTGTTTTCTGCACATGTTCATGCCCTGTCTGCACCTGTCTCCTCCGTGAACAACAGCGCTGCGTGATCTCCAAGGCCGCTGTCAGCTCGAAAGGGGTCTTTGACTCCTCAGTTTTGTTCCCAAAGCTTCTATTTCCCACTTTAAGAGAATGGAAAGAGTTCGATTTTTACTCACATACCGATGTGACTCGCAGATGCTTAGCGATCCCTTTTTCAGCCTTCCATCCTTTGTAGTAAACACACTGGAGCGTATTCAACTGTAACTTTGAGTTTTGCTGTTCTGTACAAATGTGGCATTACCTTCCGGATCAGGTCATTTACCCAGGATCTAACTTAGGCTTTATAAAGAGTCTTCATTGAGTTTCAAGATAGATTTGCCTACAAGATGTCACCGGTAGGAAGACCCACCTAGGAACAGCCTGGTGAAATAGAGGGAGGGGCGAGGGGATGGATGTGATCACAGCAGATGCCGTCAGTACTTAGAGACCTCTTGCCCTCTGTGACCCTGCAAGGACCAGCTAGCCTGGAGCCACGCTGCAGGGCTGAGGCCACCCTCCCCCGCCCCCCAACAGGCAGCTCATGTTGTATGCCCTGAGCCCACCGTGCCGTGTCTCAGCCACTTGGGAAGGAAACAGTGAGATCCCTCGAGATTGAAAATCTGGTTTCCAAGTCTACCTGCACCCTCAGAAGGGATCATTTCCCTAGGAGCTCATGTTGCCTGCATTTCAATTTTCCACTGTTAATAAATTACATTCATCCCCTTAATAGATGAGGAACTGAGTCAGGGGCCGATATTGGGGGACGTGAGGGCTGTCGGCTGCTTCAAGGGAGACACATACGCAAAGTAATACAGGAATTTTTGAAGAGCGCTAACTGGTGTGTGGCGAGTGTGCCGAGTCGCCAGGCAGGAAGATCTGCTTGGAAAGACGTCCAGGTGCGGAGCAAGGCTCTGTCTGCTCTGGGATGCCGCCCTTCCCTCGTTGTGGGCAAGCGCCCCCTGTTGGAGCCTTCTCTTACAAACCCTTGGCATCACTGATGCAAAGGGTGCGGTTTGCATCTCCAGGTCCTTAGATAAAACATCTTATTCCAATGACCGAAGATAATGTCCAAACAACTTACTGATTTGTTTTTTTAAATCCTTATGGTTAAGAGGTAGGTGACCATGTCTTTCACACACTGGGACTGAAAGCAGACCAGCTTGCCAGAGTTCATTCTCATACAGAATTTCCGAATGTAATGCCCCAACTATCCCTTTCATCTCGGGCTGTGATTCTTCTTTTAGAAGGAAGAATTACAGCTTGCATAAACGATGTGCAACCTCTCCCGTGTTTGTGAGTACAGGCGGAAGTGGAAGTCCAAAGAATATCACTTCTAAGTGACGTTTGTCCGGAGAGAAAGGGGGGAGCTGGGATTCTGCCCACCGCCCACTACTCACTACCCACTGCTCCTGCACCTACACCTACTCCTGCACCTGCTCCTGCACTTGCACCTGTTACTGCACCTGCACCTGCTCCTGCACTTGCACCTGTTCCTGCACCTGCTCCTGTTCCTGCACCTGCTCCTGCACCTGCTCCTGCACCTGCTCCTGCACCTGCTCCTGCACTTGCACCTGTTCCTGCACCTGCACCTGCTCCTGCACTTGCACCTGTTCCTGCACCTGCTCCTGTTCCTGCACCTGCTCCTGCACCTGCTCTTGCTCCTGCTTCTACTCCTGCACCTGCTCCTGCACCTGCACCTGCAACGGCTCCTGCTCCTGCTCCTCCTCCTGTTCCTGCTCCTGCACCTGCTCCTGCACCTGCTCCTGCTCCTGCTCCTGCACCCGCACTTGCTCCTGCTCCTGTTCCTGCTCCTGCCCCTGCTCCTGCTCCTGCCCCTGCTCCTGCTCCTGCACCTGCTCCTGCACCTGCTCCTACTCCTGCTCCTGCTCCTGTTTCTGCTCCTGCCCCTGCTCCAGCCGCAGAGCCTGGGCTCTGGTGCCAGCCCACCTGCGCCCACATTCAGAGCACTTTGTGCCTCCGTTGCTCTGCCCTCGCTGAGTATTAGCCGGAGAGGTCAGTTCTTGAAAAGGTCCTGCATGGGGGCTGTGGGAAGAAACCCGTGTAAACATTTTACAGAAAAGATGCTAGATTCTGCTGAAGTCACCTCGGGTGAGGGGCCTTCCGGGCCAGGAAACAGAACCTAAGCTTTTAGATAAAAGTCCATCCTAGAGACCCACAGAGAGGCCATGTTCCCA